CATAAACAGTGATTGCGCAACCCTACAGCGGCCCGACTCCGGCAAACTTGAACTTGAATCCGCGGGCCGCGCTCGCTCCGGGAGTAGGTCAGTGGTCTTGCTCAGCGCCGGGTAGGTTGTTTCATTTTGAGGGGTCAGGTCGCCAAATTTTCTGAAGCGAGTTTTTTTTGAAAGTTCATGTCATGCTGATACTCATGGAAAAAACCCGGGGTCTGTGCGATGAAGGGAACCCGGCGCAACCCGCGCTCAAAGTTTTTTGGGTGTTTTGGCAGGTATCACGACCGACATGTTCCCGGGGCTGCTGTGCGGGGGCGCCGCCGCCGCCGACAGCGCTCGTTCCTGTGGTGACTACCTATGGTATGTTCTTCCTATCGGACATGGTCCGACCCGCCCTCCTCACCCCCCTCAGAAGACAGGGCGTAAGTACTCAAAAACCAGGTACCTCGCTCTAGACCGAGTACCGTTGATGATAAAGGAACGCCGCCTGCGAGGAAAGGTAGCCGGACCGAAGGGCTATCGAGCCCCGAATAGCGAGAGCATAACGTTTTCCTGCAGCATAGCAAAAATGCGAGTGGAAGTGGCCGGGTGCCGGGAGACGCATTTAAACGGCGCGCGGGAAACAGGGACGGTAGGCGGTATACTACGCTCCCCGCTCTAGTCGTTAATGGTAAACCAAACACGCGTATTGCATTCATTGACACTGCTAGCAGACTGCCTGCGACGAGCGTCAGTCTCTCTTACGTTCCCACCCGAGACAACAACGCAGCGCCAGTGCCAACACAAGCCCACAAGTACATCGGTGAGTGAGCAGGAGGGCTGCATTACGCAAGCGCACTATACCGCCTGCCGTCAACGTTTCCCGCCTGCCGTTTGAATGCGTCTCCCGGCACCCGGCCACTTCCACTCGCATTTTTGCTATGACGCAGGAAAACGTTATGCTCTAACTATTCGGGGCTCGATAGCCCTTCGGTCCGGCTACCTTTTCGCGCAGGCGGCGTTCCCATATCATCAACGGTACTCGGTCTAGAGCGAGGTACCTGGTTTTTGAGTACTTACGCCCTGGCTCCTGAGGGGGGTGGGGAGGGCGGGTCGGACTATGCCTGATAGGAAGAACATACCATAGGTAGTCACCACAGGAACGAGCGCTGTCGGCGGCGGCGGCGCTCCCGCACAGCGGGCCCGAGAACATGTCGGTCGTGATACCCGCCAAAACACCCAAAAAACTTTGAGCGCGGGTTGCGCCGGGTTCCCTTCATCGCACAGGCCTCGGGTTTTTTCCATGAGTGTCAGCATGAAATAAACTTTCAGAAAAACCTCGCTCTGGTATAGGTAATTTTTTTTGAAACAGCCTAGCGCCGGGGAGAGGGAGAAGGCCACCGGCCCCGGCACGATGGGATGCCTAACCCCAAGGCGCAGGGGAAGCGTTCCAGCCGAAGACTCCAGCAGCGGCGTGACTCAAAGTGTTGCCATTG